GCTCCTGACTCAGCAGGGAGCCTGCTTCTCCCTCTCCTCCCCACTAGTGCTCTCTCTGACTCTCTCAGATAAATAAATAAGTAAATAAAATCTTTAAAAAGATAAATCTAAGTAACATCTTTTAGCAATGAAGAGGTAATGAAAAAAAAAAAAATCATGCCCCATCAGCTTAACGGGAGGGTGGAGATTGCATATATCATGTGTGTTTTAAACCCATGCTTACCATTTACTTACTTATTTTGATTTGTAATTTGCGGGGCTTAACTCCCAACCTTGACATCCAAAGTTGGATGCTTAACTGACTGAGCCACCCAGGCGCCCCAATTGAGAATTTTGTGTATTTCATTTTTCTCTTTTTATTCACCTTTTTATTGCTTTTCAGTAAAATTTTGTAGTTTTCATCATCTAGGCTTGTAAGTTATTGGATTTATTTTTGGTTATATTTGGCTGCTAGAAGCAGTATTTTTTCACAAGGTATTTCTGTTGGATGTTAACTGTGTGACACGTAGTGATTTTTTCCTCACAGTCTAACTCACAGTCTGACTTGATCACCCACTTAGTTGTTGTTGTTCTTCTTCTTCTCCTTCTTCTTCTTTTTTTTTTTTAAGTTGCCTCTTTGTCCATCAGGGTCCTTGAACTCACTGACCCAAGATCAGGAGGTGTGCACTCTGAAGATGGAGCTAGCCAGGCGCTCCTCCTTAATGCTTGGAATTTAAATGCTTGCTTACCACCAGATCGTCCTGTAGCTTTCCTCAAGATGAGACATTGTAATGGAACCATTCACGCATTCTGTTTTATGATTAGTAAGAACTGTACAGTTGTTGGTAATATATCTCCATGACTAAATTTCTTACAGAAGTGAGGGAATGTGTATTTTAAACAAATACATTTCAGAATATAAATAAATTTCTCCAACTGTGATTTTTTTATTTGTTGGTATAAATTTAACTCTGATTATTAGCATAAGTAGTAGAACTTTTGGGTCTTCTTACTTCCAACAAGCATTTTATGCCAGTTTCAGGTTTCTCCTTTTAGTTTCATCTCCATTCCAAGCTGCCCCACTTCTGAGAACCCAGACTCTAAAATTCCTTTTAGGCTCATAACTTCCATTCTTCCTCATTCCTTGCCCCCTCCCTCATTCCCACTCCCACACTTGCCTGATCCCCTGTCTTCTCCCAGTTCTCACATTTGTGTCCCCATGCTCCCAACCCTTTTCAGAAGCCACTGCAGCTATAATTTGATTCTTGTCAGCTTTTCTGCTCAGTTTCTCCTGCCTTCCTTTCTCCCCACGCCATGTTATCTTTTTGTCCCATCGCTCCACTCCCAGCTTGGAAATTCCAGGCTACCTGGACCATTTATAATCCATGATTTCAGGTTCAGCAGGGCTCCCAGAGCATGAAGGTCTTTGCAGTTTTCTCTTGTTGACTCAGTCTTCTTTGCACCATGGATTTGCAACCATTCTTCACTTGGGATGTCTTATGCCCCTCATTACAGGGCCCCGGCTAGACTTTTTCACTCCCAAGAGATATTCTTAGTTGCCCAAGAAAATTGAGGATGTCCATCACCAGGGGCTTCTAACTTCCTCTGGCTGTATCTCATTTTTTTTTTTTTTTTATCTTCCTCTCAGCCTTCTTCTGACGTTGCCTATCTTTGAGGCTAACCTCCTGAGATGGTGTAGATTAAACTGACTTTTTAAGCCAGTTTCTTAAAATGAGCTTATTTCTTGATTTTTGTTTGTGTGAGTTTATTGTGAAGACAGTTTTGAAATAAGCATGCTTGGACAATTTTCTTGCCCTTTGTGAGAGTACAGATGACCCTAGATTGACATGACCTTGTGGCATGCTCACTTTCAGTTACCACAGTTTAATTCATGAACACCAGTCCCCCAACAATGTAGTTCAAGTTTCAGTTACCAAGATTTATTAACTGTGAGGAGTTGCATTGAGTACAATTTTCGCTGCTAGCTTTTTCAGTCCACAAATCACCATGTAAATAACAGATGCATATGGCGGCCAGTGACCAACATGGTTTCTTCTAACGTCTGTCAGTGATTGTTACTATGCATCCGTTGGTCATTCACAGACAGCAAAGCAAGCAGTTGTGTTGCTTCCTTGTCCGTGGGTGGTAAATGTACATGACATTTTATACAGATGGATGGTTGAAAGAGAAAATTAGCTGATGAAAGTAAAAATTCAGAAACGGAAAGAAAAGTGATAATGCCAGAAGTGAAATTCAGGTCACATATAAATGGGGTTCTGGAAGAAAAAGCCAACTGTGGGAATGTTAACACTGCCTCTGTTCCACAGACTGTAGCTAGCTATGCTGCCAGAGGAGCTTAGTGATAGTGAGTTTATGGATATAGTGAGGAGCGTGGTCATGATGGAGAGGATGAGGATGTCCTAGAGCAAGGGACACTGGCATAAGAATTCTTATTAAAGGGGGGCCCCTGGGTGGCTCAGTGGGTTAAGCCTCTGCCTTTGGCTCAGGTCATGATCCCAGGGTCCTGGGATCTAGCCCCACACTGGGATCTCTGCTTGGTGGGGAGCCTGCCTCTCCCTTTCTGCCTGCCTGTCTGCCTCTCTGCCTACTTGTGATATCTCTCTCTCTCTAATAAATAAATAAATAAAATCTTTAAAAAAAAAAAGAATTCATATTAAAGGAACTCATGGAGATACTTCACGTTATTAAAAGTCCAAAGGTTAAAACATGGAAAATTAAGCGTGGGAAGGAATGTGGTGGTTTGCCAAGGCCTGGAAAAGATATTTACTCTGTATTGTAAGCTGTATGATGATAAGATAAAGCACTGTTCAAACATTTTTCATAAGTTTATTATCATGAAGACTTTAATTCTCCATGTTTTAAATTATAGTATACTAAATATGATGAGTTTTACAATTTTTTCATTTCCCTATATGTTCATCACCAACAGAGTTTTTAGTGTTTTCGATAGAGACTTAAAAATTACCTTTCATATGTTTGTGCCTGCTTACACCACCATTGAAGGCTTAGGGGAATCTGTTCGTGCTCTCTGCTAGTGCCTTGTTCTGTTTGCCATTGTTGACTTGTTTGTCCAACCTCTTCCTCTGGTGACTCCCTATTTCAGTGGATATACATACACTTAGGTTTTTGATTTCCTAGAGGAAAGACTTCACCTAGACCCTGTTGTGTTTGAGGCCCACTATATCCTTTTTATTTTTATTTTTTAAGGATTTTATTTGTCAGAAAGAGAGAGAGAGCAAGCACAGATGGGGGGAGAGGCAGGAAGAGGGAGAAGCAGCATCCCTGCTGAGCAAGGAGTCTGATGTGGGACTCTATCCCAGGACCCTGGAATCATGACCTGAGCCAAAGGCAGGCACTTAACTGACCAAGCCACCCAGGTGCCTGAGACCCACTATATTCTTGCTCCCTTTTCCTTTACCCTCATTTTCTTCTGAAATAAGTCAGACCTGCCAATTCAGTTTACTTATTATTTCCTTTCTCTTTAGTTCTTGCAGTCACTTGACATTAGGCACCTCAAGGACAAAGGTCATGTCTGTTTTATTACTGAGTATCCAGTACTTAACCTGGCAACTGACATATACAGTTAAACTTGGTGTCCCATTTGGGGGAGCGAGTTCATAAAAGCCTGCACCCACCATCCACCTTGTCCCATTTACCCATTCCTTGGGTCTGTGTTATCTCTTTAGCTTGGCTTTGGGGAAACACCACTCCACCTGTCACTACATCCATTCCCCTTTGCATATTCTTTGTTCTTGCCAAAGTAGGCTGCTCGTTGTTCATTTGCTGCCTTCCATTTCTTCCTTCAGAACTGTCCTGATGCTGTTCTTCCTCCTACAAGTGTTCTCTATCAGATCATCTATCATATCATACCATCATCTCCCCCTTTCAGAGTCCTGGCTAAAGCTTTTCTCCCTGAAGCCTTCTCTCATCTCATTCTTTCCAACCACTGCAACTTTTCTCCTTCTTTAAACAACTGTGGAATGGGAGCTGCTCCTAGCACCTGCCAAATATGAGCCATTTATGCTGTCATATTTATGTTTTCCCGCACAGATAGAAGCTCCCTGAGGCATTTCTTCCTCTTTCCTGTGCATAATTCAGTCTTTACACATAGTTGGTACTGAACGCGTGGTTTGTTGGATTTTCCTGCAAAGTGAGATTCCAGAGATCTGTCAAGGAAACTGCATGCTGCTAAAAATATTGAGGGTTGTTCTATGGATTATTATTATTATTATTATTATTATTATTTGCTCCTTTTCTAATTCTCAAGTAAAAATTCTTTCTGGTGTATCTATCTACCTTAAAATGCCAAAGGCCCCAAGAGTGGAGAATGAGAAAGTGGCAAAATGTTAGAGCTGAAAAGATTTTTAGAGATCCATGTAGTCTAGCCCTTTAGTTGTATAGGGGAGTAATCTGATGTCTAGAGCATGTACGTGATCTCCCCCAAGTTACACAACCAGTTTGTGGTAACGTTTGGACCCACAGTGCAGGTGCCTAGTCCTGTCTAGTAGTGCCTGTTCCCACAAGCTGCTGTGGGGCATGGGGCATGTTAGGATATTGTTTAGGTTTGTGTAGTTAGATTATGTAAAAGAGGCATCTACTAGTCACATATTGCCTTTTGTGGATTAACAAATAAAGAATTAAGAAAAAATGAAGAATTAAGAAAGAATTAAGAAAATGAACCTCTAAATAGATTGTTTTCCTCTCTCCTTCCCTTAATTATTTCCAAATTCTGACTGGATTCATTTGCATTCACTGGGAAGTTCTGGAAGCATTCATCTTCAATGGCATAGATTCGTTTGCTAACACTTAAGTAAACTTTTTCTTGAAGTATAACATACATAAAGAAAAATGCACAAAGCCTAGGTGTGGAGTTTGAATTTTCACAAAGCACAGACATCCGTGTGACCTGACATCAGGAAACAGAGCAGCACCAGCAACTTTAGAAACATTTGATGAAATAAAAGGGTTTGAAGCCATATAATTTTTTTTTCTCTCTGCAGGTATTGTCAGTCTGTGTGTTAACAACAATCCTTGGTTGTATATTTGGGTTGAAACCAAGCTGTGCCAAAGAAGGTAATTACTATAGCAATTCACATGAACACACACACATGTGTGTATGTGTGTTGCTATTTAGACGTCTTCAGAATATGGTTGAGAAAAGCATTATATCCTAATCTGTGAGTGGTCCGTAGTTATGGCAGACTTGATGCTGGTTTGAGCCTTCTTGAAGCTCTTTCATTGAATTAGCTATATAAAATTTTATTTATTTGCAAAACTGCATCCTAAAACAACAAAGAGGGGTTTGGACCAAAAAAGTCAACCAAACAAAGAGAAAACCCCAAAACAACAACAAAAAAATTCAAACAAACCAGCAAATAATGGCCTAAAGATTCTGGTGCTGGGCCCATGGAACCCTCTCCCTGCCTCTCTCCAGGATTCCTAGGACACTCTTTCCCCAGGGAGTTAGTCTCTGAAGCAGTTCTGGCGGGGTTACTAGGTAACCATTCAGTGTCACTGGGCAACCCGAAACTTACTGTTACGTGCCCTCACGGCTTTTAAAATTGTGGGCCTTGGTGGTCAAGAGCTAGGATTACTGCTTTTTTCTGTTGGATTTGTATTATCTTACAAGTGGATTTTAGTAATCTAATGAAAACCTAGCTTTTTCCAAGTATGTAGTAAACAGTTATAACATAAAATTATTGTTTTTAATAAAAAGTCTTCCTTCCATATCCACCATGTATCCTTTTTTTTTTTTTTTAAGATTTTAAATATTTATTTGACAGAGAGAGATCACAAGTAGATGGGCAGGCAGAGAGGGAGGGAGGGAAGTAGGCTCCCTGCTGAGCAGAGAGCCCGATGCGGGACTCGATCCCAGGACCCTGAGATCATGACCTGAGCCGAAGGCAGCAGCCCAACCCACTGAGCCACTCAGGCGCCCCATGTATCCATTTTAACAGAAACTTGCTAGTACCAACTATAGCCCAGCATCTTGTGGGCTGCTGGGACACAGTATGCTGGGCAAAATCCATATGTGGTCTTTGTCCTTAGGAAGCTGGGAGTCTAGTGTGAGACCAGGCTATTAACCAAATGCCCTAGTTCAGATGGAAGGAAGTGACGGGGGTGGGGGAGGGTAGGGGAAGGACAAGGTTTTATAAAAGCTTAAAAAATGGAAATCATACCTTGACTGGGGAGTTCATGCATTAGGCTGGGCCTAAAGGCTAAATGAGTGTTTTAGGTGATGGGGACGGTCACTCCAGCAGAAAGCTCGCATGGGGACATTACTTCTTTTATAAACCAAGACTGGGGGTGGGTTATGTCAGGCATTCTTTCTCTTTCTGAAATATTCAGAGAATCACTTTTAAAATCTTACCTCACATATGAAATTTTAGAGAACGTTATGGCTGTTGAAGCCAATCTTTCCTGAGCGTAAAACATTCAGCACAAGTCCTCCTTCTGACTTTTCTTTACCGTGCCGTAAGGATTTAAGTCTTACAAGCCCCAGTCGGGTTTGTAATCAGTTTTAAAAGTTCTATTTCTCTATGACAAGAGATAAAAACTTTGTGCCTTTTATTTGTGCCACTTTCTGTGTGTATTTCTGAAAAGATTCTTGGGTGCCTTTATTACACCATCCGTGTTCTGTCAGCTAGGATTTGAATCTATCTATCTTAAGTATATCAGTTGATTGCTTTGTGCTACTGTGATCTGAAAGCTCTAATGCAGGATTCACTATTTTCAGTTAAAAGTTGCAAAGGTCGTTGCTTTGAGAGAACATTTGGGAATTGCCGCTGTGATGTTGCTTGCGTTGACCTTGGAAACTGCTGTCTGGATTACCAGGAGACATGTATAGAACCAGGTAAATAAAAATATGCAGGGAAAAAGAAGGGGCCATGGACATTAGTAAAAGATCAGAGATAAGTTCTGCATCTTTTAGGTATGTGATTTATCTAACTCATTCGAGATTTTTAAAATTTTGGCTTTTGTATTTCCTTAGAGAAAAAAAAATTACAAGTTCTGCCTTATTCAACCCTTTATGGCTAGCCAAACCATGCCTCGTTTTAACGTATGCTGAAAGCCAGTATAATCTAATTTGCACTTAAACTAACGTCAAAAGGCTGCTTGAAATATATGAATATTTTCAGTGTGGGCTCATTACAACAAGAGTTCTTAGACATCTACTTCTTTTTATTGAAGTGTAGAGTTGACACAGAATGTTACATTAGTTTCAGTGTACTTACGTGTCTGCTTATACTTCAAAATAAAATAATCAGAACATGGAAATGTTCTCAGTTTGATTTGGATTTCTCTACATATGACTTGCATATTTAATATTTAAATGAGAACGGGCTAGGTTCAGATTAAATTTTGAGAACCCTGAAGATGGTTGGAGGAAAAAGCCTGAATTATATGATAATAATATTTGTCCATGTTTTAAAATGATGAAATTCTGGTCTTTTTAGCAACATAATAGCAATTGTTTCTTGCATGTTTTCTGTCTGTTAGTTCAGCTCGACCACTGTGGTGGCAGGCTCTGTGAGGAACTATGAGTTATGAAAGTGTTCATGGTGTCTTGTGGATCCTGCTCCAGAAGAGAGCAAGTCTGGGTCCATGTCAGATGTGTTGAATTGGGACCTTAACGTGTATTTTGTTGTTTGTTTCTAGAACGTATATGGACTTGCAGCAAATTCAGATGTGGTGAAAAAAGGTTGTCCAGAAGCCTTTGCTCCTGTTCCGATGACTGCAGGGACAAGGGCGACTGCTGTATCAATTATAGCGCCGTGTGCCGAGGTCAGCTCTCCACGCATCCATCTTGTTCCACGGCAGCCCGCTATCCTCCTTGGTGGTGGTGGGGTTTTGCAGAGGGGTCATTTTTTACACTATGAGTCTTACCTAGGGATAAACTATGTTGGCTGAGAAAATATTTAAGAAAACATTTTACTAAGGAAAGATTCAAACACATGTGAGTAAAGAAAGTACGCAGTGAATTTTGTACCCATCCATTGGGTAAAGAATTACTACTGTCTATGCTCAGCAAATCTTGTTCTAGCCGTAGTCACTCCCTCTCCCGCTACCGCCCCCTTCATGTTATTTTAACATCAGCTCCATATTTCATGCTGCCTTGTGGAAAGATGTCTTTTGCAGTCCTGGCTGAGTTCCATTCCCAGGTGCCCTCAGAGTGAATGAGGACAGTATCTGCCATGTGTTGAAAGAATAGATGTGAAATTACAGCCCAGGGTCATAGGATATTATGTAAACTGATGCTATGCTGATGTTTTGTCCCAGGGTTCTTTGCAATTGATGTGAGAGGAACTATGATATCGAGGATTTAGTACTAGAAGATATTGTTGGGTGGATAAAAGGAGGCTTGTAGGGGCACCTGGGTGGCTCAGTGGGATAAGCCTCTGCCTTCGGTGCAGGTCATGATCTCAAGGTCCTGTGATCGAGCCCCACATTGGGCTCTCTGCTCAGTAGGGAGCCTGCTTCCCTTCTTCTTCTCTCTCTGCCTGCTGCTCTGTCTGCTTGTGATCTCTCTCTATCAAATAAATAAATAAAATCTTAAAAAACAAAAAGGAGGCTTGTAAATTTTGCCTGAAAATATTAACAACTCAAGAGCGAAAAAGATGCCTCTCAGTTCTCACGAATACAGTAATATGTTTTAGTCTTACAATTACACTTTTTTTTTCTTTCTGATATCAACTAATTCGTACTATGAAACAGTGTAACTTTCTGTATTTGTTGTATTTTCCTAGAATCATGCCCCATATTATCTATAAATCTGTTAACATTTTGGTTTTGGACCCTTTCATAATGTCTCCCAGCATCACAATCATTGGTACTATTCAGTGTGTTCAACTTGTCTTATTTCTTGAAAATATTTTAGGAGAGAAAAGTTGGGTAGAAGAAACATGTGAGAACATTAATGAGCCAGAGTGTCCAACAGGGTAAGATGATGTTCTGAAATACTATTTTTCTGAGGTACTATTTTTTTTTCTCTTTCCAAATTGACAAGATAAAAATAATAACCAATCATTGGTTCATTAAATGGTATTTTTAGTCAGGCCTTGTGTTGGGCACCGGTGGTGTAGAGTTAATTATGGAATGACCTCCCCTTCCAGAAGCTAACAGAAAAAAGAGAGGTTGTTGACTATTTAGTCTGTAGTGTTCATGAGCAGTGGGTGGAAATCTTTTGTCTTTCTCCTTAGGAAGGAAGACCCTTTACTTCCATTTGTAGCTTTGAGAGTTAAATCTATAGCAAATTACTTTACAATTTTCTTTTAATTTTTTGTATTTTGGTTTACTTATAAATTAGAGGGATAAGCAATGTATCTGTGGGAGAATGTTGCATAATTTTTATAATTCATTTTGGTTCTTTTTGCCCTTAAAGTATTTTGCACAGTACCTTATGTATGCTAGGCCATCAGAAAAATTTGTGTGCAATTCATGGGAGGGGGGATTTTATGAAGATGTTACATACATTTATCTCTGCTCCACTTGAGATCTTTTACCTCATATAATTTGAATTATTCATCTTCAGAAATACATTTTTACTTTTTTAAAGTCATCATTTTTTTCCAAACTATTAAAATTTTTAAAGCTGTGCTTTGGCTTATTTTTTTGGTGTATATAATTTATTTTTGCTTTATAGGATGTGTATTCTTTTCTTTGGGATGAGAGAGTACTTTTTTGTTTAAAACAATAGTAGTAGCTGCAGCAAAAACTAAACCCAAACCAAAAAATTACATTAGAAGAGACTTTTTTTCAAAGGGACCTCTCTTGTACTTTGTGCTGTCCTTTAAGTCCAAGATTTATTGGAAAATTTAGATTTAGTGAATTTTGAATCTTTCTTTTCCTTCTACATACTGATCATGATTTTTCAGTTGTAATATTGATCCTTTCAGTGGAAATGTAACTGTTCCTTTCTTTACAATGAGATCGTAATTAGGAACCTGTGTTATGATACTAGAAGTATTTACCTGGTGGCACAATGAGCAGTTTATGTTTTATGTTGAGTGAATACAAATGATTTTATACAGTGATGGACCATTGAGACCCTATGCATCTGATTCTGGAATCTTCTAACTGAGCTATGGTGCAAACATGAGTTAGTGGAAATTACATACCAATTTTTTTTTTCTTTTTCCTTTTGTGTTTGTGTGTGAGAGTAAGCTGAGGAGGAGGTAGAATTGAAAAAAAGGCAAGGCAAAGTTAGGCATTTACTGTCATTTAAATTACTGAGTAAACTTTAAGTGGGAAGTTCTTTTATGGTTAGCCTGTGATCTATAACTCTCCTATTGTCCACCAGGTATTATTATAAATTCAGAAGTTCTGAACCATGCCTGTTCTGGTTTGGCCGTATAACAGCTGCCCATAGTTGTTCTCCTTGACTGAGCACATCACTGTAAATGTTTCTGCTCCTTTGGATTTCCACACCACGTGCATTGTGTGTGTGTGTGTGTGTGCATGTGCGTGTGTGCACGCGCACATACCCTCATTGTTTGTTCCTAGCTTTGGGTCATTCCCTTGTTGTTTATTTATTAAAAAGTAATGAATACATTCCAAACATCTCTACTAAATAGTACTGTCTTTTCAATATAGTAAATTTAAAAACTCAATTTTATATATAGTTTATGTGATATGAACTACCATCTAGCAGATTCACATAGAGATGATATCAGAAAGTGGTTGTTCAGGAAAAAACTTACTGGAAACAAAAATGTAATTTAGAGAATGCTATTTATTAGCATTCTGCAAACTGGGAAAATATTATTATATTTTAGTAGCATTTGGTCCAGCTTTTGGAATAGCAGGGTCTATGAATGCTAGTCTCCATACAGTGGTTCAACATGGTCTGAGTGCTTGAGAAATCCTATTTGATGGTATATGTATATATCATACAGATAATGAAATGTAAAAGCATGTATATTGCATATCAATGTGAAATCTCCTTTATAAGGATGTTTGCTGAACTTGTTAGTTTCCTTTAGATCACATGCTAACTTAAGTGAGAAATCTTCATTGGACTTGTGCCAAGGAAGGAAAAGAACCTTCACTGGATGTGTGTTCCATCTGCTTTTTTAAACATTTTTTTTTTCCCTTTTTCATTATCCAGGTTTGAAATGCCTCCGACCCTCTTATTTTCCTTGGATGGCTTCAGGGCAGAATATTTACACACCTGGGGTGGGCTTCTTCCTGTTATTAGCAAACTAAGTGAGTAACTTCAGAGTTCGCTATTGGGAGTGTCACTGTTTCAGTGAGATAGACTAGGGATGCGGGCTTTCTTTGGAAAAATACTGGCAGGATGTGTTTTACCAAACATCACTACGATGAAGTAGTTGAACCTGATGATAAGGAATTAGTCTCCAATATTATAATTACTTTGAAGCTACCTTTTAAATACTTCTAAGGTAATACAGTTTATACACACACACACAACACACACACACACACACACACACTATAGATACCTGTATGTATGTATGTATGTATTTTTTCTTAGAATTTTGGATTCCTTTTGTGGAAAAATCATTTATTTGATATTTATTACATCTTAAAATGGAATTTTCAAAACTGAAAGTATTTCTGATATGATTCTAGTAGTGTAGAATATTTGCTAGTTATCCTATAGTATCATGTAGCATCCTTCCAATTTCTTTGCCTCATACAAGGCCTTAACTGAATGATTATTCTGTAAGTTATTGATGCAGTAGTAGAGTGGTCTTAATATTAATGCTCAAGTTTTAAATCACATTAAGCCCCAGTTATATGGGTATCACTTGTATCATCACTGCTTATTGAGAAAGGAAAAAAATTGCATATGGGCATAAAAACTGTAGAACTTTGCTCATTCTCAGTGATGAGCAGTTAAGTAGTTACAGTGTAATGTGAGGCTAAAATAGAAGTTAATACAATGATTTTAGTGTTCTGGAATTTTAAAATATTATTTATTAGCCTTGAGTATATGAGATTAGTTTAAATATGAAAATCACTCTCAGTAATTACACATGTGCATTTATTTTACTTCTTTTATGAGGAACCAAAATAATTTTGGGAAACTTTAAAAAAATTTCTCTTTTTAATTTCTACCTAGAAGAGAATAATTTTTATAAGTAATCATTGACATGAAAAAAAATCTTTAGCAAAAAAGCAGGCATGGTCAAGGAAGGCTCTGTTCTTAGCAGTTAGGCCAACAGGCTTTGAGGCCTGAATCTGGTCCTTTGTGACCTTTAGGGGGTCCGTTTGTTTCCATGGCACCAAGATAGCATCCTGGGTTCAGAATTAAGGAGTTGTGGGTACTATATGTGAAGTTTTAAAAGAAACCAGCACACAGTCAGCCTAAGCCCTAGCTTTGGATACTTAGGGGACATACCTTGTAATTCTGCACTTCTTGGAAGGCATTGAGATAGATAGACACTTGCTAATTTGAGGAACATTTTTAGCAGTGACTTATTGAAATGCTAGAATCATTAGTTTTTGTGGTTTTTTTTTTTTTCACAGTAGTAGAGGCAGGAGAAAAGGAGCATGACACCGTGAGCATAACACCAAGGCTAAATCCAGAGCAGTCCAGCTTCTGTGCTTTCTCCAGCATGAAGCAAGAAGATGCCTTTTGTCTTTAGAGCTGTGTTGAGTTTGTCCAGACATAGCTGGTTCTGGATTTTCACACGGGGACACTGTCCCCCTCAGCGGCTGCTTCAGCCTTGTTTTAATTTTGCAGATTTTGGCATCAGCGCAGGTTTTTTTTTTTTTAACTACCTCTTATAACTTAGGTATATGACCACTAAGTAATATCAGACAGAGATATAGTAGGTGTCATTATTGTACATGCTCCTTCTGGAACTTAATGTTATTGATAAGTATGGGATAATTCTTTCATTGGCTTAATTATTTTGTTCAATATTTTTTGAGAAAAATTAACTCTTAACATTGCATTTGATTCTACAATGTTGATTTATAATTAACTCTAAATTTGTATATGGTTAAAAATCCCTCCTGGGTTATTTTTTTAAAGCTGTTTAGACTTATTTGTAGGAAAGCTAGATGAAGTAAACACATTGTCAGTTGCATTTAATAACAATCTTTAATTTGTTTCCCTTATAGAAAACTGTGGAACATACGCCAAAAACATGAGACCAGTATATCCAACAAAAACTTTTCCCAATCACTACAGCATTGTCACGGTAAGCTCCAAGTTTCAACTTTTGTATGTTCCAGAAGAGAGATGTAAATGTTGCATTTTTTGAGCCAATAATTAGACATCAGATCACTTGTTTTCCAATATGTGGTTAAGCGAGGAAACCTAGTCTTTGCCACTAATTATCTGTAATTTGGGGAAGGTCACTTTACCTTCTGGTCTCAGTTTTTCCGTCTTGAAAAGAAGTGACTAAAGACTCTTCTTGGTTTCCTTTCAGATTAAGATTCTCCAATTTTTGTGTCTTGTTTCTTCTTACAGTTTTGTAGCTTACTCTATTTGTACAAATTTGTCCTACATTTATGGGTTCTCAACTTGTCTTTCCGATCACCTTGATGTATAAGTTTAAGCAATCCAGTTTGCCTGACTCTCGATAGATTTGCAGCCCTGTTTTTGTTTCAAAGTTTCCCAGTTTAATTGGAGTCCAGAAAAATAGTCAAATTCATTAGGCATTATGGTTGAAGCCCGGAAATTAATTCTTTAGCCTGTATTAATACAAGTCTATGCTTAGACTCAACTAAAAGTTTGTTCTACAGAAATGCTTTACTCAGCAATGCAAAAGGAAAATAGGACACTTTTTTTAAAAAATTGGAGAGGCTGTAGGGGTGCTGGATGGCTCAGTTGGTTAAGCATTTGACTCTTGATTTTGGCCCAGGTCGTGATCTCAGGGTTATGAAATCTGGGCCACGTTGGGCTGGGCTCAGCGTGGAGTCCGCCTGCCCCTTTCCCTCTGCTCCTCCCCCGCCACTTGCATACTGTCTTTCTCAAATAAATAAATACATAAAAATAAAATCTTTAAAAAAAATTGGGGAGGCTGCCTATTTATATAGCTCCTCATCCATACCATTCTTAACTTAATTTCTCCTGTTACATAATTTAAAATGCAAATACTATATTATAAAATCTTGAGTGGTTGGTTGTGTTTTGACAGTCACGTTGTTTTGTTCTTCTCTCCTTAAACTACGTTAAGTTTCTTGCAGCTTCAGTTACCTGTTTTCTCTTCAGTGCTTTCGTTCTTGAACTTTATTTCATGCTAAAAAACTGACAACTTGAGGGTGGTGGGGTTATGGACATTGGGGAAGTATGTGCTATGGTGAGTGCTGTGAAGTGTGTAAACCTGGTGATTCACAGACCTGTACCCCTGGGGCTAATAATACATTATATGTTAAGAAAAAATAAAAAATGAAAAAAAAAAAAAACCCTCACAAGCTGCATAAAACCTGTTTTTCTATTTTTTAGGGACTTTATCCAGAATCCCATGGCATAATTGACAATAAAATATATGATCCCAAAATTAACGCTTTCTTTGCACTTAAAAGTAAGGAGAAATTTAATCCTGTGTGGTACAAAGGAGAACCAGTGAGTTGTTTGTTTGTTTTAGCTACTAAAATAGTTTGTTTTTTAAATTATTCTCATCTCTTTCAATCAGAGTAAAATAACAGATTCCCTGGAGATTTAATAACCTATGTCATGGATCCTGTCTGTGGCCATCCTTTTGTACATGAAGGAGAATGCTGATAATCCTAAATCTTGTATCATTGTGTAGTGGGGGTAGTTTTATTTCATAGCCGGGTTGGGGAAATTCTGAACATTTTTTCTTTTCTGCTTAATTCTACCTTCTTGTACCAGTAGTTTGTAGCCGTAGTCTGGGGGCCATATTTTGAGCCATACAAAACTGTTACTGAAGGTGGTAAACTCTGACTTCATTTGTATATGCTGAGAAGATTCTTTCCGGCCATGATTTATATGTGTTCTTTGTATTTTTTAAAAAACTGCCACAAAAATTCTGTGGAGTCTTTTTGGATAGTCTCAATCAATATTCCTCTTAGAAGGAAAAAAAAGCATGATGATTAATTTGCAGGGTATAAATTCATATTTTAGTGCTGATATTTGAAACTATGTGACTTTGGGCAAATTATTCTTTTAGTGGCTTAGTTTTCTTATATTTATACTGTAGATGATACGGTTAACTACCTCAGGGGGTTATTGTGAGGATTAACCAAATTAATAATTGGGATGCTTCTGGGGATACTATTTAGAATTGTAATTGGCAGGAAGTGCTTAATATGTGTTAGTCACATAATAAAAATGTCAACAAATTAAACACATGTGTGTTTGGGAATATTTTTTTCTTTCAAGGGGAGCCTGTTAAAATCAAAGGCTAGGGCTCTGAAAGTTGCAAAGGTTTCCAGCTGATGGCGTCTGTATTTTCTAGGTTAAATGCTCTCTATTTCATTTCATGTTGCTGCTGTCCAGTGTCCTATTGATTATTCTGTAGTCTCACTGCTGAAGCTCCTTCACTTCAGAAATCCCGTAGCACTTAGGGGGAATGCACTGATGTCCCATGAACACATACTTACTTGCCTAACAGATGCACGGTTGTATAGTTTTCTGACTTGCGTTCACTGTCTTCCCCAGATTTGGCTCACCACGAAATATCAAGGCCTGAAAAGTGGCACCTTTTTTTGGCCAGGATCAGATGTGGAAATTAATGGAATTCTCCCAGACATCTATAAAATGTATAATGGGTATGTATACACGCACTTTTTTCAGAACAGCTCATTTGTTCTAAATCTCAGCTTCTCCTTTTTATCAAGTGCCAAGTTCCAGCATTTCTGTGATGTGTTGGCTGAAACATGAGAACAGTCAGAATGAGAACTCTATCTCAGTTACCTTTTAGATGGAGGGTATGTAAGTTTTGGATAGATGGATGGACAACAACACTAGGCTGAGTTTCTAGAGGTTTTCTAAGAAGTGCTGGTACATGTTGGAGTTTGCATTCAGATCCTTGGGCAGGAATAAAATAGGAAGTTGTGGTGACTGTGGCTTTTTAAGAGTCATGAGCAAGTGAGCTGTCCAAGAGGTATGCTTTATAGAATGTATCGACACACAGGTTATTCACCTGGTAGCAATTGCTCTTCTCAGATACAGGAATAACATCCTCGAGTAGATACAAGAAGCAAATATTTATTTATTTATTTGTTTGGTTTTTTCCTTAAAAATTTACTTATTTGAGAGAGAATGTGTGAGCCCGGGGAGGTGCAGAGGGAAAGGGAGAGAGAGAATCTCAAGCATACTTCTCACCCAGTGAGGAGCCAAACACGGGACTTGGTCTCATGTCCCTGAGATCATGGCTGAGCCAAAATCGAGAGTCATACGCTTAACAGACTGCACCCCCCCAGGTGCCCCTACAGCCTCCCCAATTCATTCATGTCTGTCTGTCTTTCTTTCTTTCTTTCTTTCTTTCAAGATTTTATTTATTTATTTGACAGACAGAGATCACAAGTAGGCAGAGAGGCAGGCAGAGAGAGGGTGGGGGGAGTAGTCTCCCTGTTGAGCAGAGAGCCCGATGCGGGGCTCAATCCCAGGACCCTGAGATCATGACCCCAGCTGAAGGCAGTGGCTTAACCCACTGAGCCACCCAGGCACACCCCCCCCATTCTTTTTTTAAAGATTTTATTTATTTATTTGACAGAGAGAGACACAGCAAGAGAGGGAACACAAGTAGGGGGAGTGGGAGAGGAAGAAGCAGGCTTCCTGCTGAGCAGGGAGCCCAATTCGGGGCTTGATCCCAGGACCCTGGGATCATGACCAGAGCTGAAGGCAGATGCTTAATGACTGAGCCACCCAGGTGCCCCCAGCCTCCCCAATTTAAAAAAAAAAAAATGTTCTATTTTCCTTTTGCATTGCTGAGTGAAGCATTTCTGTAGAACAGACTTTGTTTTAGTTGTGTCTGAGCATAGCTTATATTAAGACGGGCTAACGAATTAATTTGTGTAATTATGTGTAAAGCTTAACCTTTGTTCCTTTATTGAGTTTTCAAATAAAACTTCTGCATTGCTTCAAACACAGTTAACGCATGGGATTGTTTTAGTCTTTCAGTGCTATTTTGCATAAGAAAATCACTGATATTTTAAACTCAACAATTGTCACAAATTGTTTCATTTTGCTTGTTCTTAATTTTAGCTCAATACCTTTTGAAGAAAGGATTTTAACTATTCTTAAGTGGTTGCAGCTTCCTAAAGATGAAAGGTATGTAGAGGCCTAATTTCTATGGGAAATACTCCTTTGTTTTATAGAAATTACACAATATTTTAAAATGAGCTGCAAGAAGACTTTGCCCTTGTCTCTGGCATTTTGTATCCAAATGAACTCTTTTTATGGAGCATTTTGAAGAACTCCAAACCTGTAAATATTTCTCAGCAAGTTTAGAAATGTTATCCCAGTGTTGTAGACTTTTTATTTTTTTATCATTTATTTATTTTTTTTAAAAAGATTTTTTAAATTTATTTGACAGAGAGAGAGAGAGATCACAAGTAGACAGAGAGACAGGCAGGGTGGGGGGGGGTGGGAAGCAGGCTCCCTGCAGAGCAGAGAGCCCGGTTCGGAACTCGAGCCCAGGACCCTGAGATCATGACCTGAGCTGAAGGCAGAGGCTTAACCCACTGAGCCACCCAGGCGCCCTGTTGTAGACTCACTATCAATTGTTAAGTTATTTTTTCCATTCTGTTTTACAATGTGTTTATAAAATATTACATTTTGATGCTGTTTGATTTAGACCACACTTTTACACTCTGTATTTAGAAGAACCAGATTCTTCAGGTCATTCATATGGACCGGTCAGCAGTGAAGTAAGTATCGTTTTATCAGTGATTGCTTCTAACTAAACCTTGCTTTGAAGCAGGTTTCTAGACCAGTCTCTAAGATTCCATGATTCTGGAATGAGTAGTAAACACAATTTTACTAAACCAGAGGATGACCTTTCATAAAAATAATGGTAGGGAGAATTTGTCTCATCTGTACTTTCGACAGTGCTAACTCAAACTGAGGGTAAATTCCATATTCTCAATTTCAAAGCCTTTATCCACTCCATTTCTCCCTACATCAACCTAAAAAGTAAGGGGTCTTTGGAAATGTTATAAGTGGGAAAAACTCTAATTTTCTATTTATTATAAGAGAATTAGATGCCAGAAGAAGCCTCCCGTGACCTCTCTACCCTAGGAGGTATATCTCTAAATCTCTGAGCTCATGTTCACAACAGAGCCTGGACATCAAAAAATAGGAAGTTTTGTCAAAACTATAGAGAATTTGAAATTACTGTGATTTTATTGAGCAGTTACTAGGAAGCTAGAGATGGGGAAACAGCTCATGGACTAAGGTTGTCAGTGTATTTGACCTGACACTCTTTAAGGAGCTTAGCTCACTCCTGGCTATGTTGTAATCAGTATAGTGCTTTAAAAGATCAAATACTGCTTTCAGTGTTTGTGTGGCCATTCGATTTTTGTATCTTGGAGTAGAGGAAGCATTAGAACAGAAAATGATTTGAGCTTCTTTCTTTGTATCTGTAAGCTGACTTTCCTTATGATGTATATTTTATCTGTGACCTGAGATCTGAAAAGAAACAAGTAAGGATCTGTGAGTATTGTTAGTCACGAGGAAAGGAGAATCAGGGTAGCCAGTCCCTAATCTCAGACTCTGTTATCTTTTTCCCCATGTGACTCTAGGAGATGAAAGACTAGGAATAGCTAGAATTTCATCCCCAAGCTGGGTCGTTTGTGAGCCTCAAGGACTCTTTAGTTCAGAGTCTAGAGCAGAGCCTATCTTCATGTGTCTGTTGCGAGCTCTGGTTTTGAGAGTGCTACTTGCTCTAAATTCTTGCTTCAACAACAGCAGGAGGGGAGAACATAGGCTTATTTTTCTCACTTGAGTTTAAAACACCTGCTTAATCCATCTTCTCCTGGTTTCCCTTTTCCCTGGGTTTACTCCAAATTTGCCCCCTTAGAGCATAGGTTCTTTTGGGGGCCATCTTGTCAGCTAAAAGAGCGTGAAGAGAGAGGGAAGTTGACCCTCAACCTAGGTCTGTATTTACTCTCTAGATCTTTCCATCAAAATCCATCTGTAGTAGCTCCAATGTAGTTAGTAATTCTATGTGCCCTTGCTTTGCTTCTGTCCTTCAACTAAGCACAAATGGTCCTTAGACGTGGGGTAAGGAAGACGCATGGCGGACAGCACAACCATATTATTATCGGTGAAGGGGAAAAGCTTCTTGTCAGCGTTATGTCGGTTTGACAATTGGCCAGATGCTAGTGTAATTTTTATTCATTCACTAAGGGAACTTAGTGTCCTGTCCAGGTCAGTTTGGCTACAAATAAGTCTAAGGATCATTTTGTAGTTGTCTGATTATCAGATCATATGAATTGTAACGTCAGTGCTGCCTTTTCTAATTTCACTGAAGATTTGCCAAAGTACTACTTTTCTGATTCATCTGCATTCAAGATTGAGCCCATTGCTTTTTATATTATAGTTACCAACGTGTAACCTCTGTTAAATTCTAATAGCACATTGGAACCCCCTTTATTTTAATACTTAAAAATTCCAATTTGAATTACTTAGGTAGCTTTAAGCAAATGAAAGACCGCATTGAGGGAGCTTGTTTCATATTACAGTGAAATTAATTGACCATAGAGACAAGACAGATTTGATGCACAACAGAAAACACATGTAGAACTGCCAAGAATTTTCCTCAGGTGGTTTTGCAAGGAGAGCAGAAAAGCAAGTTAAGCAAGTTGCTAAAACCATTTGCTCTTCTGTGTCCTTGCGATACAACATATTCAAAATACATATAGTTTGTAAGGAAATAATGAGTTGTATTCCTAGTTGTAATTTTAAAAACCAAATACAATATAAGAACTGTAAAAAGCATTTCATGAATAATTTTAACATTTTTGACAGGTTAGACAATCAGATCCCCTTGGTGTCATTCCCAATATTTATAACTGAGCATGTGTGGGATTTGCCCCCCCTCCACACTTTTTTTTGGCCCTTCTTCTGTTAATGGGCATTGCCTTACCTGCGTGGCTTAGCCTAATGTAAATCAGTTCATCGTAATAGTTGCATCCACTGAACCTTCCCTGTATTAACAGAGATAGCTTTATGTAGAAATACCCATTAGTATGGAATCCGTCACAAGAAATCGCTTCCCTTTCATAGGTCATCCGAGCATTGCAGAGGGTTGACAACATGGTTGGCATGCTGATGGATGGTCTGAAAGAGCTGAACTTGCATCGATGCCTGAACCTTATCCTTATTTCAGATCACGGTAATCTGACTTTGCATCATTTACCCTTCAGGTTAAATGGTGCTCCCAAAAAAGTTTCCTTGATTAGTTATTGTGACCTTATTTCTTCTGATTGTTATAGTTAATTTTTTTTTGTAGTTTTTTGTGGAAAGTTTTTAGGAAAAAATTACATTAGACATAAAGTACAGGTAAAACACAGAATTCACAGAAACCTAAGAGCCTATCAATAACAGTGCACCCATCTCCTGATTTGGGGAAGGTTTACACCAGGAATTTTAGATAGCTAAAAAAAAAAGTAATATTAAATTTTGGTAAATCTAGTCTAATAGTTCTAGATTTAGCTTGAACACATTATTATGTGCTTTTCTTATTTTCTCTAGCATGAAAAATCTGATTTTAGAAGGAGTATAAATTCTAGCACTATGTTAATTTCATTTTTTCTTACTATGACCTTTAGAACATGTTTGTATAACAGCCTTGGGAGTACAGAAGCAATGAGTGCATAAGAAAATAGAAAACAGTTTTCTTTTTGTTTTTTTCTTGTTGTTATTGTTTGCTTCAGAAAAATTCCTGAAAGCTATTTCTAGAAATGATTGTAAGAAGTTCTGTTCCAAAGAAGCTACAGTTCTGGAATGAGACTGAGAATTTTATGCTACCATTCATATTCTAGGTGATCTGGGGGAAATGAGTAGGCATTTCTCTTCAGTTTGAAACTGTGATATTCTTCCTCATAAAAAGATACTATAACGCATAAATAAGAAATGTTAAACTAATTGTGGATGAAGGAAGGGAAAAAGTTTTTTTTTTGGGGGGGGGTGAAGTGGTATATATGGCTGAAATTCTGTGACTTACCTGTTAGATGTTTAACTAATGTGAGCACTCAGCACATAGTTAGTGAATTAAATTCTGGAAGTGAAAGAAATTCTCTTCTACATGTAAAATTCCTTATTAAAGTTCCAACATGTTTGAGAATTTTTTTCTCCCAGGCATGGAACAAGGCAGTTGCAAGAAATATGTGTATCTGAATAAATATTTGGGAGATGTTAAAGATATTAAAATTGTATATGGACCTGCAGCTCGATTGAGACCCTCTGATGTTCCAGATAAGTACTTTTCATGTAAGTATCTTTGGTTGCTAACATTGAATATGATTACATTCAGAATTCATACCTCTAAATTATTCTATCTCTACACTAAAGTGCAATGGTTAAACTTAATTTCCTTTTCATGATTAATTCTCCAGTGCAGATCTTTTGCACCCAGAAAGATTTTATAAAGGCACTGGGTGTGAAGACACAGGTCTAACCACTTATCTTTGCTATTCATTGCTAAGCATATTATTTGATGAGCTTAGTACAATTTTATGTTATAGTGTGTGTTTTACTTGTGTTAGGTTTGAGATTACTTGTACTAAAAAAAAAAAATCTGAAAAGTTTGGCTACATGTATTCAAGTTTAATTAATGACATTCCATTAAAATAGCTTAGAGTTGTTGGAATAATATTCTATTATGAGGAGGAATGTTGGCACTTCTGTAGTTCTTAAAATTCTATAAACAACTGGTTTCTGTCCTCAGAAATGACTTTCCTTGACCATTCCAAAACACAGTAAGAATGTGTTTTGTAAACAGAAAAGAAGAAATTTCACATTCTCTCTTGACTACATGTGGAACCCCAACTGCCAGGAAATTTTCTAAAAATATTAATTCTTTTGCAAGTGAGGTCCATTTCCTAACTGTTTCCACCTCTGTTACTGCCTACTTTCTGATTGCTGTCTTTGGTAACTCTTAGATACCACCAGCAAGTCTTATTTATCTTTCTGTTACAGTTAACTTTGAAACAGAAAGAGAAAAAAGCTTGTGTGACATTTATTGGAACTGGTTGGGTGCGGGCACTGCATGCTGTATGTTTCTGTAGAACTATTGAATATTCACAGGGAGAAATAGAGTTTACTGCAGGAAAGTGTTCATGCAGATATTAAACAGTAGGTTAACATAGTGACACTCAGCGTAGACTCTGTACATGCCTGGCAAGTTTTAATTAGTATTTTGTTTTAATTTATAAAAGTAGTATACGGTTGTTACAAAGCCTGTTATAAGAACTATACAGGTGGGGTCAGTGCCCAGAATGATTTAGGATGGGATGGCTAAGCTTTGATGACACCCTTACCTCATTAGGCCTCTATCTTCCAAATTAAAGCAAAAACTATATCTGTATTTATTTACCAATATACAGACATAAGATGTATATACAATACATGTTCTTTTATCTGAATAATTTTCTCAAACTTATGTAAAGTACAGCCAGAAGAATCTTTGGAAAGCTACACACTTACTGATTTGTAGTCCAGAGTACACTACATTTGTGGTCTTGCTATGCAAATTCGGTTTCAAAACTAGTCTGTTTGCCCTCTCTTCTAAGGTCCCCCATGTCCTTTTTATTTGAAAATTCTGGAATTATCAAATATCAAAATATGTAAAGTAAAAAGTAGAAGTTTCCCTAAACCTCTGTTATTCACAACTCATTTCCTCTTTCTAGAGATAAACATTGCTAGGCTTGGAATAGGTCTTCCTAGATATCTGGCATGCTTTTGTAAGATGTGTTTGTTTTTTAATTTTTATACCAGGCCATCATACTAGATCTAGATGCATGGACAGATAGGTGGATGGTCAGATGGATGGATAGATAGATACTCTGTAACTTGCCTTTTCATTTAACAGTCTGACACAATTTCACAGGCATGGAGTGGTTCCTAACAATCTCTCTCATTCTTGCCAATAACTAATACGTAATGATTTCAATAAGCTGTTTGAAACTTGTTTCGGTATTGAAGAATAGAGTTTGAATCTGACTTCGGCATTTTTGTTTTATTTTTAATTGTAGCATACCATCAACAATTAATTCTTATCTTTGCTCCCCTTCAGTTGATTATGAAGACCTTGCCAGAAATCTTTCTGTGAGTATCTTTATGTTTTCACGATCTAGTTATTGTTAGTTTTGTTTAAGATATATTTAGAAAAGAGGTTCAGTATCTGTTCTTGGGATTTTAGCATTAGAATTTTTGAGTATGTAGGCCAGAATTTAGATGCACTGTTTTTTTTTTTAAAATATTTTATTTATTTATTTGACAGAGAGAGAGATCACAAGTAGGCAGAGAGAGAAGGGGAAGCAGGCTCCCCGCTGAGCAGAGAGCCGGATGTGGGGCTCGATCCCAGAACACTGAGATCATGACCTGAGCCGAAGGCAGCGGCTTAATCCACTGAGCCACCCAAGTGCCCCTGCGCTATTGTTTTTAAAGATCTTTAAGGACATGTCCCAGCAAGCTGGCATTGAAAGTTTTTAATGGGAAGGCTGGTGGCTCAGAGGGTTAAATGTGTGCTTTCAGCTCAGGTCATGATCTCAGAGTCCTGGGATTGAGCCCGTGTCAGCCTCCCTGCTCACCAGGGAATCTGTTCCTTCCTTTCCCTTTGCCCCTTCCCCCCTCATTCTCTCCCACTTTCTCAAATAAATAAATAAATCTTCCAAAAAAAGTTTTTAAGAATTCATTTACTGTCATGGTTTAATTTTTATGAAGGTAAAGAAATAATTGGAAAAAAACAGAAGGAAAAAAATTTATAGCTACATCACCATAGGTACCGTTAGCATTATTAAATATTTCCTACCAGTCTTTTTTATGCCCACTTAATAAGTTTTGTCTTGGTGATGAATTATCTATAGTGCATTTTTTTTTACTTGATATGTTTTAACTGTTAAAGAAAATTCTTAACATTTTAGTTATAAGTGTTTGAAAAGAATATTATCAGCGGTAAATCATATAAAATTGAGTGACATACTCTAAGAGTTTTAGGGTTTTTATGCATCAGATCTAATTTCCTATAAAAAATGTGAGTATTGAATTGTTGGTAATGGTCAGCTGGTACATTGTATAAGTAGTAAGAACACAATTATTTTTGCATCTGTGACTTATTACGCAGGCTGATAAAATTTTTATCAGAAAAAATTCATATAGAATTAAACAATTTCAAGAGAAGTTTACGTGTAAGAAAATATGGAAATAAGAGTTTTTCTTTACTGTCTATAATTTCAGTGCCGGGAACCAAACCAGCACTTCAAACCTTACCTGAAACATTTCTTACCGAAGCGTTTGCACTTTGCCAAAAATGACAGGATTGAGCCCTTGACATTCTATTTGGACCCTAAGTGGCAACTTGCATTGTAAGTTCTGATGGCTTCCAGGTAAATGTAGCCTTGATATGTTAGTAATTCAGTGTACCCATTGGACCCTTTCCGACAATGTTGTTATATGAAAACTGTACAAATGCGATTCTCTCCGCTCTATCCCAGGGTTTCTCAACCTTGGCCTGTTGACCTTTTGGGTCAGATAATTCTCTGTTGTGGGGAGCTGTCCTGTGCATTGTAGGATGTTTGAGAGCAATCCCTGGCTTCTACCAATTAGATGAAAAAGCACCCTTCTCACAGTTGTGCCAACCAAAATGGCTCCAGACTTTGACCGAAGTTCCCTAGGGGGAGGGCCATCCACCCCCAGCTAGGAACCGCTGCTCTGCTCACATCCATATTGATTATTTCTTATGTCTACATTTGCATTACCATTTAAGCATTGTATCTCTTCTGCACATGACAGCTATCCTAATAATACCTTTAAATCCAGCGAACAATTGGTAAAAGCTCTTTATAATAACGAGCAATTATTTTCTTCTTAAGAGTTGTTTTTTCACCTCGGTTTTTTGGTGTGTTGGAAAATTATTTAGATGGTTAATATTGTTAATATCTCAAAACATGGTAATTAACTCTTTTGATGGTTGCCAGGAAGCCATGCTGTAAAACAAAACCTAAGCAGTGAACAACATCTCACTGTCTCTCTCCTTTCACTAGAGAGCCGTGCTTTTAGTGTTCAAAAGTAGGTCATTGGTGGGCATCTGTGTGGAGATGATGAAGAAGAGGATTGTCCTTACCTCATATTAATAATATACTAATATTTCACAGACATTTCCTGTATTCCAAAGATATCTTTAGACTAAGCCATTTATTTTGTACAAACAACCCAACATGATGAAATTGAAACCAGGAGAAGATAACTAACTTGCCAAAGTCACAGCTGGTAAATAGCATAGTCAGGGTTCAGAACTAGTTCTGTGTCAACGCTAGTGATTTTTCCCTTCTATGCCACACTGCTTATGCAGTTGATTTATCTACAAAATAAAAGATAAGGGTGACCCCTTAATGCTTCCCAAGCCCAGTGGTTTTGTTTACCTTTTTTTTGGTTTAACCAAATAGTAACTTATTGCTTATGAACAGAAATAACGTCATGATTATAAATCTGACACTGTGAATAGACTTTGCATCATTAATTCATATTATATCAAAATTAGGGCTCCTTCAGAAAAGGAACATTGTGGAAATGGATTCCATGGTTCTGACAATTTATTTTCAAATATGCAAGTAAGTAAACTTGTTATACTTAAAAAAATAATGATTTATAGCTGAAGAAAACTATATAAAGTTATACACTTAGAAACGTGGAATGTGATTGTATGTGTTGAATGAGAATTAATGTAGCTTATAATTTTATAGAACTTTTACTTTGGGCATTACATTAAAATTTTACATTCATGTTTCATGAACATGTGACTTTTACCTCAAACTAAATTTCTAATAGTTATTTTGTATATACTTGTGCTCCATTAAGAATATCGCCACATTGTAAATGAAAAGTAGTGATTTAATAGGAGAAAAGGTATTATATTTTTGTTCTAAATGAAGATAATGTCTTACAGTTACCTATAAATTTTAAAATTTCAGAATATACTCATAACAGTGATTTAATTTGATGCCTGTAGCACTGGGTGAAATGGGCAGAGTGACTTTTTTATCACATTTCACAGATGAACAATGATTTCATCATCCATTCCATTCTGATTGTCAAGTCAAAGCTGAGAGAAGTATCCCACATGTCCTTAGATTAGATGTGCAACATGGGTTCAGTCAGTATCCCACCAAGTCCATGGACACGGTAGTTTTCCCATTATGTTAACCATTTTATGTATGTACAGCATGGTTAATATAAAATACTTTTTTGTCACCAGCTGCATACACAGGGGAAATGAATTGACACACTGTTACTTTTCTGGCCCATCTAGGCCCTCTTTATTGGCTACGGACCTGGATTTAAGCACCACTTTGAAGTTGATTCCTTTGAAAATATCGAAGTCTATAATTTAATGTGTGGTAAGTGGGAACAGGCTTCCTTCATTTCTTCTGAAAACAGAGCTGGAATGGGATAATCAAAAGTAGGTCAATGGTGGGCATCTGTGTGGAGAGGATAATGAGGGGAGCCAGATCTCCTTCTTCCTGACCCAGAGTCATTGAAAAAAAAATATGGGGATTGTGCCATCTGATGACTTACATTTCTTCCACGAAGCTATACACAGGTAAAGTGGGGCACTCAGGGAGGGCCATATGTCATCCATGCCTACCAGTTTGCCAGGCCATGGGCTTCATTATATGGCAGTCGAAACAGGTCTCGGGTGGAAGCATGGGGAAGAGTTTGGAGTCTGTGAAGGGGACCCAAACCAGGCGGAACATCTGGTAGCAGTAATACTTGCATGGATGACAATTTCAGGATTGTAGAAATTGAGGAGTTTCCATTAGATATATTCCTTGTTTACCCAGTACTTTCTTCATTAGTACTTTTATGGTTGGATATTGAGTTTTAAATATGACTTCCTTTTCCTGACAATGGTACTGGGAGTTTGCAAACCTTAAATATGTCCTCAGTGTAATTCTTTTAGTGGGAGCCTATATGCTTAAATGAATTCATATGTCCTAAAGCACTTAAAACAGTGCCTGGCATATCCTAAGCGCTTTCCTATAGAAGTGTTTGCTGTGGTTATTGCTAAGAGCATGAGTCAGACTCAGACAAAGCTGGTTTTGAATCCTGGGTCTTACTCTGTTAGTAGCTTTGAGACCTTAGGCACAACACTGTAATTACTCATCTACCAAATATCGGCAATAACTTATTAAATTGTTATGAGGATTAAGTAAGAAAAATACGTTAGCACAGTGACTGGCATATAATAAGCATGCATGGCGGTTACTATAGCCATACACACTAAAATTCACAAGTTTCCATAGAGAAGTACAGTGTACATATCAGTAATCCCATTAAAATCCCATTATTAAGAATAGCATAGTCATAAATGCTCTAAAATTCAAGAGCATTTCATAGTTTCATTTTAGGTGGAAAGTAAAGAACTCTTGCATAGATAGGGTTTAAAAAAAATAAAAATCACGGGCTAAGTCTTCTATTTATTTGTTTTTGAACCTCTAAGTAACCATTTACCTTTCTTGGAATCATGCAGATTTACTGAATCTGACACCTGCTCCTAATAATGGAACTCATGGGAGTCTTAACCACCTTCTAAAGAATCCCATTTACACCCCAGAGAATCCCAGAGAAGTTCACCCTGTGGTGCAGTGCCCCTTCGCAAGAAGCCCCAGACGTAACCTTGACTGCTCATGCCATCCCTCAGTAAGTACTGACCAAAGCGTAGCCCAGTTGGATCTTATGGTGCCCTCTGCATAGCTTATGCCATAGAAACACTTAGTGATCAAATTGAAATCTGTGAGTAGGCATAAATATCTATGTATGTTTAATTCTGATGGAACACATGCTGCCCTCTTATTGTTTATTTTTCCTCTTCCTAGTTTTTGCGTTTTCACCTCCGTTTTTATCCCTTGGTGCTATGACTTGACTTGGATGCAGGTTGGGAGAAATCTAGCCAAGTCCTGGAGCATCCTCAATCGTGGAGTCTGTGCTGTTATCCTAGCAGTGAGGGCTTGATTATCAACCAATCATAGCTTTCCTTCTCTAAAATATCTCTCAATTAATTTTAAATTTAGAGGGAAAATCACGTATTTGGGGGGTATGAAATGGATATATGGCACTCTTTCTTTTTTATTCCTGTCTTAACATATAGTTATAAGAAGATGAAAATATGTGACAAGTGAACAAAACTGATAGTGTCCCTAGGGGCACCTGAGTGGCTTCGTGGGTTAAGCCTCTGCCTTCAGCTCAGGTCATGATCTCAGGGTCATGGGATTGAGTCCCACATCAGGCTCTCTGCTCAGCAGGGTGCCTGCTTCCCTTCTCTCTGCGTGTTTCTCTGCCTACTTGTGATCTCTTTCTCTTTCTTGCTTTCAAATAATAAATAAAATCTTTAAAAAAAAAAAACCTGATAGTGTCCCTAAAGGTAGAGATTTGGGGAACGGTTGGGATATGCTTTCCATTTTGTTCTAGGCTGGTAGAAAGACTCTCAGAGCAGTGATAAAGATGATAAAGGAGCGACTCTTGTTTTTCATTCATAGTGCTTGTGCTTGGGTAGCAGTTCTGTCTTGTTGCAGTTGTCATCTGAACTTTTATCCTCTTCGTCAAAAAAATAAGTTTGACTTGTACAAGATGGCTTTATCTTCGTCCCATAATGGGATAATTATGCTGCAGAAGTTGTTTGTTACAAGATTGAAACATGTCTCAAAACAAAAATAGAACGAAACAAAACCTCCTGTCTCTCATTGCTTAAAATCGTATCATTAACTTTTTAGGTCTTACCAGTTGTGGATTTTGAGATACAGTTGAATTTGACTGTGGCAGAAGGTAAGACATGTTTACCCTTGAGTTTGGAATGTAAAAGTGGGCTTTTTCTCAGCCAGGTTAACCACAGAACATTGGTTTGGGGGCATTAGTTGAGAACAACCAGTAACTTAAAGGTGGTAGTGGAGACCACCTGAGGAAACACGGAGGTGTCTTTGCTTGATGGTCTAGACTGTTCGTCATACGGAAGGGAGGGATATTTACAGCACATCATATGTTTAGTGGAAGCTGAATTACTCTTTATGAACATAGTGGAGGTGGTTTGAGATCTTGAAGATTTTTATAACTTTATAAGAGACCTTCAGATTTCCATTGTAAACACCTGTTAGATTTCTATCTGCTTCTTAGTTCATTATAAGAGAGTATAAATTGGCTTGTTTATCTAAAGTTATTTCTTTATAACTTTTGAGTGAAGAGTATGCTTAATATACAGACATTTGTCAGTCGTGACTGGGATGTTCAGCCTCACTTTGATACAATCTCTGATACACTTTGATATAGCCTCTGATCCTTGTTACTTGGCTCAGTTTTTTCCTTCTGTAATAAGAAGGCAAATTCTGCATAATTCCCAAGTTGAATTTGCCTGTATAAAAATCTCTGTCAATATGGGGCACCTGGGAAGGCTCAGTCAGTTAAGCATCCGACTCTTTGATTTCAGGTCAGGTCATGATCTTAGGTTCCTGAGACTGAGCCCCACACCGAACTCCACACTGGGTGTGGAGTCTGCTTGGGATTCTCTCTCTCTCCCTCTCCTTCCCCCTCTGCTCCTCCTCCCACTCACATGTGCTCTCCCTCTCTCTTTCTCTTTCTCAAAAATAGAATAAAATAAAAATAAAAATCTCTGTAAATGTTTAGAGATACCTTTGATGGCCTTGTGATGACAAAACCTTCTGGTAAAGGATTGCATTTCTGGAACTGATCTGTGTTTGAATATGAGCATAGGAACTGTATGTCCATGGAAAAAGTATTCATTCTCTATAAACTACTGGTTTCTCATCTGTACAATGGGCATATAACCTTAATTTGTAGGGTTATGGAAGAATTAAATTAGATGATATATACAAAGGACTTTACAAAGCACTTGGCACTTGGAAAAAGTACAGTAAATGATCTATACTATTACTTTCATTCAGCTTCATTCAGCTCAGTCTCATAATTTTAGTTGTGAACTTTTGCTTTCTAAGCACCCATCTCATCCAGAAACTTCTCTGTCTGGAGTTTTCCCTGAATACTAGTTATTAAAATACTGTTGAAGAATTTTAACAATATTTTTAAAGTTCTAATGCTGAAATTTGTAGTAATCTCACATAGTGTTCTCTTGTGATATCTTGATCTTACATTCATCTTTCAGAATCTTCATAGGCAAAAACTACAATGAATCCCTTTTCTTAACTGTTTATGGTTCTGTGCTTTGTGTTTAGTTTTATTTTACAGTTAAAAATAACTTTTCAGTAGGGTTAAGTAGAGAATTGGATGAATGGATTCTTATATACTCTATAAGGAATATGTTCTTACATATTCACTATACACACACACACACATATGTGTATATATATAATATATTCTGTATGTACATACAGAATATATTATATACTGTGAATTATATTCACAGTAAGTATGTTTGAATGGTGGTTTCATTTTTCCCCTACAACCCAAGAGAAGGTTATTAAGCGCAGCACTTTACCTTACGGAAGACCCAGAGTCCTGCAGAGGAACACCTCGGTCTGTCTCCTCTACCAGCACCAGTTTGTGAGTGCTTACAGCCATGACATCCTGATGCCCCTTTGGACCTCTTACACCGTCCGCAGAAATGCAAGTATTGGTCGCCTCTTTAGCTATGTTTGATTATTTCAAATTATCATTAAGCAAAACATTGAAAGCCGAGTTAGTTTGGGTCAGTTAATCTTGGCTCTCTCATCAGTTTCTGCATTAGAAGATCACTGAACTGTGAGTTAGAAGATTAAGTTCTTGTTCTAGCCTGACCACGAACTCGGTGTATGACTCTAAGACTCCAAGCGGATGTCTTCTTGTGTGAAATGAGGGGTGTGCATGCAACAAAAGTTTCTCCCTTGCTTTATGTTTGATTTAATATTTTAGGATTCTAATTTATAATTTTATGAAATCAATTTTGCAGTCAGGCACAATGATTCATCTCTAAATACATAGCTGTATTTTCCCTGTCTGGATTTTCCTTCACTGCGCTCACCTCAGGGGGTCCTCACTGATGGGCAAGGTCATAAAAGCTGAGTGATCTCTCTGCATATACCACCTACAGGAACCCCCCCCCCCCCGCCCCAGACCAGACCAGAGAGAGGCCAGGGATCTGTGCACCTCCCAGAACACAAGAAGGCCTTGAAAAGAGTTGGGGGTTGGGGGTGGGGCAAATACCCCCCCCCCCCAATAAGACCACCATTCCCCCTCACCCCTGCCCCCTGGCTGCTGTGGTGGAAAGAGAAACAGAAGATAAGCCTTAAAAGAGAGAATGGGGGAGGGGATGAGATTGAGATTTTAATCAAATTGAAGTTTTAAACTAGACCAACCAGATTTTCAGAAACTGAATGTCTGGCAAGCTACAGGATGCCCTTAAGGGATGGAAAAGGGATCTGAGAGAGCTTAATGGAGGGTAGCAGCAGGATTTAAAAAATAAAACTATTGTTAATAGTCACTGAGAATGCCAAATAAAAAGAGAAGGCTATGTGTGTGTGTATATGTAATTTCTTTGTTAAAAATATATATATTATGCACCCATACACATTCACATAATTCCATAAAGTTTCTACCATCAATTTGATTGTTTTAATTTTGAAGACGGTCTCCCAACACTTGTAAACACGTTTTTTACTTGACTTTGTGATATGTAGGATACTTCCCAGTTTTTTTGTAGGTTCCCATCAGATTTACTGTTGTTTCATGCCATAATTACAATGTTCTTTGATTCTGTTCAAATGTTCAGTTGACTTATGTAATCAAAGCTGCTTAAATTCAGTCCTCAGTGCTCCTGAGGTTTTTGTGCTACACTGTTTCCACCCCCAGTTGGAGTCTGTGCAGTTGTGTATGGAAGATAGATAGGCTCAGATCTCCCCAAATCAGTATTTCAGTAGATAAAAGCTTACAGTTGACCAAAAATAAATAAATAAATAAATAAATAAAATACACTAAATTAGCCCAGCATAATAGGAAAATATTTGCACATATGTGATAAATGACTAATATCCTTCTATCATAAAAGAGTTTTTGCATATCAGAAAAAAATGAATATACTACTAGAAAAATGGGAAAATGGTGAAGGATAGCCAGAGCTCTGTTTTCAAATGGTGTGATGCATCTTCAGCTACTCATAAAGCCATCTTCTTTTCTTTTAGATGCCTGACACCTAATGGCTGTTTTCATTTTGTTTTTCAGGACAGTTTCTCTGCAGAAGACTTTTCTAACTGTCTTTACCAGGATCTTCGAATTTCTCTTAGTCCTGTCCATAAGTGTTCCTTTTATAAAAATAATGCTGAACTGAGCTATGGGTTCCTCTACCCACCACGTAAGTTTCTACCTCCCTGACCTTGCCTTTCTCTTGGCCTCTTTCTCTTCTTCCTTTTCTTTTCCTTATGAGGCCAGATACATCATCTTGTTGTTTTTTTAATTGGTGAAAATGGTAAATGAGAAGAATAACTCTTAGGGAAAATTTTAAAGTGTCTGAAGCTTGACTTTTAGACAACTTTTTAGGTTTTGCTTGGATGAACCATTCAGTATCTTCCTTTGGCTCAGGACATGGTCCCAGAGTCCAGGGATGTTGGGCTCCCTGATCAGCAGGGAGCCTGCTTCTCCCTCTGGGCTCTGCCCTTCCCAGCCCCTCACCCCTGCTCTTCACTCATTTTCTCTCTCTCTCTCAAATAAATATTTTTTTTAAAAAAAGGAAAAATGTAATTCACCCAAGAAAGTGGGGATAGGCAAAGCCTAAGGGGGCTCGCTCTTTCACAGAAATGGAGCTCCTAGGGAAAAGCTTTTTTTTTTTTTTTTTCTTTTTTGAAGTTAAGTGTTCTGCTTTTAAATGTGGCACATTTGTGTGTTAATGAGAAGACATTTTCAGGCTGGCCTTAAAAGGCAAGGAGCAGAAGGCTCTAGGTGCTCAAATATTCTCCATATCCAGCCCAGTCCCCAGAGTAAGTGTCTGAAGTCAGAACTTGGCTGTTGCTTTATGAAAATAGACCAACTCCAAGCCGAAAATCCCTACAAAGAAGCCTTGTACAGCATTTCGAGGCAGAAATCCTGCAATGTTTTTTCTGGGTAGTAGGTGTTGTTCTGAAGCCAGATAATCTCTTTTTCCTTCTTAGTGTAGAAGAGTTTAAGGAAAGAGGTTGTCAAAACAATACATTGTTAGTTGAAATAGGCAAATAATGTAAAATTTGAATATGTTTAATTTAGGCTGTTATTAAGCTTTTGTTTTTTTGATAAATTCATCTTGAAGAAGAAAAGATCTAAGTATTTTACTTTTTTAAGGGAACTTGACCAAACACATGGCACTTTCCCTTGACCCTGTACTTAGGAATGTTTTATGGGTTTAAGGTGATACTCAGCCTATTTTTCAAGTGCCCTCCATGAGAAAGTATGATTTCTAATGTTATTCATGAAGAATGAAATAGTTGTCTTTTTTTGCTTTCTTTATAGAACTAAATAAAGGTTCAGATCAACTATATTCTGAAGCATTGCTTAATACTAATATAGTGCCAATGTACCAGAGTTTTCAAGGTAAAAAATTTTAACCCCGTATCTCACAATTTCAATGAATTTCTGTATATTATAGGCATAATTTATATTATTAAGACTGATCCTCTAAATGACTGTCAAGCATGTTCTTTTAGGTGTATGTTCTTAGAGGTATACATTCTTACACATTCTTAACTTTGATGATACCAGTACACAAAAATTCTACAGCTGTTAGAATTATGATATATTCTAATACCTATTTTTCTACTCTGTATTTACATGTTTGTAAATAACATATTTTGATGGAAAAGTATGTAACATTCTTCCTAAGTTATCTGGCTTATATAGTCTACTAACACATTAACTTTCAGTTTGTTTTCCCATTTAACTTTTGGGAGTTGTCAATAATTGTTTTTGACCTTGAAATGAATAGATTTTTGCATCATTTTTAACTATCGTTGTATTTGGAACCCTTACAAAAATAAATTTAAATTATTCTTCAGGTGACATATAGAATTTCAAAATATGGAGCATACAAGGAAATTTTTTACTCTAATTTACGTGCAAGGAAATTTTTTACTCTAATTTATGTGTAGAATACTTGTGAATATTTCAAAGGGAATTTCAGATATTAACAGTAAATCTGAATAACCTGCCTTGTTTCTTTATGTTCATGGTGAGGGATATAGTCAGGGATGCCCAAAATAGTGTTGAATTCAATGTTTGTCTCTTCTGGCCAAAAGCCAGAGCTGAACAGGGCGTTTTTGGCTTCACACTAAGACTGAAGCCACATTTGTCTTTGTCAGTAATTACTATAAATGCTAACTTTGAAGAAGGTGGTTGAGTTTTTTCACATGACAGCATGGCACCTTGTTCTCTGGAACCCACACTGACACCCTTCTTGTTCCAGTAATATGGCGCTACTTCCACGGCACCCTTCTACAACGGTATGCGGAAGAAAGAAATGGCGTCAATGTGGTCAGCGGGCCTGTGTTTGACTCTGATTACGATGGATGTTATGATTCCTCAGAGACGCTGAAGCAGTAAGAACATATTTCATTTCCTCTTAAAAACAGCTGTCGTGTGGGATTACCATCCAGTTGAGTCCGCGGAGCCTTTTCTGTCTGAAACTGTTTGTGTTGACGGACAAGACATTTCTGTTTACACCGGAAGCCCCTTGAAATATCCTATGATGTTTTGCTCAGTGTTCAGTAAAACTTTTTTAGAGGAAAGAAGGAGTGTTTCTCCTCGACTCTGCTTAGATGAGTAATTCCTGAGCTCAGATTAAACACTGAACTCTGCCATCTGTGAAGAAGGTAACATCCATGTTTAAAATCTCTGTGGCTAATTGTTGAGATACTGTCTTCATTAACTACTGCTGGTTAGAAGATAAGGAACCTTGTGGTGTGGCTAGAGGCATCCTGCCTGGAAGCATCAGCAGAATTAAAAAGCTTTAGTGTCCAGGGCAGGCCTTGGGCGAATGTCACAGCTTTTACCTCCCCTTTTTAACCCTTTTTTAGGGGGAGCCTGAGTGACCGTCTTGAAAGAAACCGCCAGTGGGTGCTGTTTTTGTAAAGTACAGCAGCGGAACATTTTATAAACCATTTGATCTTTCATAAAACAATAACAGCATGATTTTTTGAAGTAATATTACTATTAAGGCACAGGATAATGAGAATGAGCTGTCAGGGGAGGTTTAGCTGGTTGCTGAGAACTCTCTCAGGCAGGCTCGGGGCGATTCTTCACACACGTTTATCTGTGACATGTTAGTTTGTGACGTAGTTTGTCAAATGGCGGGCTTTTGTTTTGTTTTTTACTATATCCCTGGCGTCGTAAGGGACCCACCATAACTGCCTGAGATCACAGCAGTAGAGTCAGTAAAGAGGAGAACTTGGGGGACGCCTGGGTGGCTTAGTCGGTTAAGTGACCACCTTCTGCTCAGGTCAAGATCCTGAAGTCCCAGAATCGAGTCCTGCATCAGGCTCCCTGCTCAGCCAGGAGTCTGCTTCTCCCTCTGCCCTCTCCCTTCTTGTGCTTGCTCACTCTCTCTCTCAGTCTCTCTCTCTCAAAGAAATAAAATCTTAAAAGAGAGAGCGAGCTCCATATCTTTCGCCTTCCACCAGAGCTCTCTGTTTTAATCAGTTTTCTATGTTATGGTTCCACATAAGATTACAAGTGAAGATGAGGCTCCCACTACTCTAAATTTGGAAAGATGCTGAAAAACAAATAAATAAACCTAGCTTTCAGAACAAAGGAAGTAGAATTAAGATGAGGTAAGGTATTACTTGGGACATCTTGAAGAATATGCCGCAGTTTAAAAGAAGTTCTTGGGATGAGAAAGGAAATCCACCTTTTTTTTTTTTTTTAAGATTTTTATTTATTTATTTGACAGAGATCACAAGTAGGCAGAGAAGCAGGCAGAGAGAGTGGAGGAAGCAGGCTCCCCTGCCATGCGCAACTTGATCCCAGGGCCCTGGGACCATGACCCGAGCTGAAGGCAGAGGCTTTAACCCACTGAGCCACCCAGATGCCCCGAGAAAGGAAATCCCTTTAAAACAAAGGAGAGTTCACAGAAACATGACTTCTCTATAAGGGCTGGAATAAAAAAAAATCCCACACCACTCTCCTCTCTGTCTCCTGTCTTTGCATAGCTGCACAGAGTTGAGAAGACTATCAATAATGCTTCAGAATCTTGGTTGTAGGTGTTCTAGAAAGATGTATTTTTTTCTTTCATGTCTCAATTCCAGTGTCTTAAGGTAGAACTAAAAAAAAAAAAAATCTGAAGTTCAGTAAATTTTTATAGAAAATAAAAACTATTTGGCTTGTGTTTACCTGTCTTCTAATTTGTTTTCAATTTAGCAGAACATATTGAGGTATTATGATTACTAACTTCTTAGTAATTTAATATTTATTTATTTATTTAATTATTTGACTGAATTTTATTTTTAGATTCATTGTATTAAAAATATACTTCACCGAAATATTCACTAAAAAGAAGAGAGTTATTTCTTTTTTAAACTGGAGATTGTCATATTTTCCAGAAACAGCAGAGTCATCCGTAATCAAGAAATTCTGATCCCAACTCACTTCTTCATTGTGCTGACAAGTTGTAAAAACACATTCCAGACTCCCTCCCAGTGTGATGAGTTAGACACCTTAGCTTTCATTTTGCCTCACAGGACTGACAATAGTGAGAGCTGTGTGGTAAGTAGCCTTTGTTCATGTATCACCTTAAACGTTGACCATAATGAATACAAGTATATTTGCATGTGCCGTGTCTGACATCACTGTGGGTAAAAACAGAATGTGAATATGCATGTACTTTGAAAGGGTGTGCTTTTACATGTACTTTGTGGGATGATTTTAAATTTGATACTCTGAGATGGTATATCTTTGGAGAGGACCACCCTTGCCTATTAAAACACAAAAAACAAATCAAAATGTAAAAACTTAGTGCCTGCATACAGCTTAGCTACTAAATTCCAGGTTTATTCGAACTATGAATTTATTTTTGTTTGAAACCTGGATTTATAATTCCTAAAGTGTCAGCACTGTTATAAATTAGTCCTAAAGTTACGGTTAGGTAGTATTTCAGATTAATTTTCTTTTTATCACTTTATTATAAAAGTCATGTTTGTTCCTAATTATCTTTTCTTATTCTTTTGTCATTCAGTGTTTGGAAATAATTGTTTTATGTTATCTTACTTGCTCGGAATTTAAAAAAAATAAAACCCCAAAACAAACAAACAAACAAAATCTAGTCTTCGAACATCAAGACTGTTTTAAAATTTTAGGGAAGTTTTTTTCCCCATAGTGAGCCAATTTTTTTTTCTTTCAGAGTACTTCCCAGATTTTCTAGTTGTTTTTTTCTAGTTGTTGTTTTTTTTTCCTCCCACTTTTCTTTTTTTGTCCGTCAAAGTTACACAATATTAAGTATAGACCTAAGTTGGCAAAGCGATGTAGCTTTCTCACCAGCCTCATTTGAATGGGTGGTCTAGTTGGGAGTCCTGTGGGCAAAAGGATGTTGAGGCCCTAGTCTGAGCTCAGCCGGAGAGAGTGCTATCATCACTCATTTATTCTTCCCTGCATTTGTTCATTGATCCCTTCTTGGATCCAGCCATTCATTCCTTCAATAAATACATGTTTCCAGGTACTCTTAGTCCAGAAGATACAGAGTGAACAAAGCAGACGGTAGCTTCTGCCATGGGCCCAGGAGTAGAATACAGAGATCCATTGTCATCCCTGATCTAAAAGCCTGTGTGTCATTCATTAAAATTCATGAAGATATTTCACTTATTTGTTTCTCTGATAAACTGAGAATGAATTGACCAGTCCTCATAGAACATATTTCTCATTAAGTTCTTTTTCCTTATGCTTCAGAATTAAGGAAGGAATAACAGGGTTTTACTTATTTGGATGCCCTTTGGGCATCTACATCTACCAGCTGGTCACTGTTGTGGACACTGTGGGATACATACTAAGTGTTCTCTTCTTCATTGCTTTTTCTTCCTCAAGAGATTGAATTGTCACTAAAGTTATCAGTTAGTGTTTTGTTCTGCAGCAAATAATGGAGAACCCATTTACAGTGACTTGAGCAATTAACGGGTACCTCAGGTGACAGGATGTCCAGAAGTAGACAGTCTTGGGTCAATAACACTATGAGGGACCCAGACCTTTCCTGTCTTCCTTCTCCACTATTCTTAGCATGTGGCACATGTGGGCCAAAGATGGTTTCTTCTCTAGATATCATGTCTGAATTCTGGGCCCTCTTCCCAAAGAGACTTATGCTTAGGTCTCCCTGAGCAAAATGATGCCAGGTATCATGAGTGAAGCTCTGAGTTCCTTTTCACCATCTCTACCATTCCAAAAGCTATTGTGCCACTATCTTAAATGCAAACATTTTGTCAAATTCTATAATAGCAGTGTACCTAGAAGACACTAAATATTGGACATGAACCAGGGAGAGGATTATTTGAAGGTATATCACACATCCTGACTGATTCCTTCTGTTTCATCTCTGAAGTAGCAACTAATGATTAGCAGGACATTGGCCTGAGACATCAGATGCCTTGCCTGTACTTTTTATCTGTTCGTGTGTATGTTGGGACAGATGGAAAATATCTACTGGCCAAGTAGTCCACGGAGTCAGGGTTATTCCTCCAAGAGCCAGAGTGAAGGTTATTGCGGAGAAGGAGACTGAGTGGGGCAGTAAGTAGCCCTGGATACAGGGATGATTGGAGGCTAATGGGAAAATGGGAGATTATTGGTCCATTCCCCTTTTATCTGGAAAGTCTATATTCATCATTTCCAACTAATAATGTCCCAAGGGTACAGAAGTCTTTATTGGAGGATGTCTTTAATGTAAAATTGCAGCCTGCCATCCAGTGGATACCTTCTTCATCTGACCTTCTCCAGGAGCCATATTCAGAGAAATGCATACTTACCACGAATGTATGATTTCCATCTCTGCTCCCTGCCTCAGCTACCAGCTCTGCTTCCATGTGTCAGAGCATGTGCCTTTACTTATCATTTGATCTATTAGCTGAGACCTCATTACCTCCCCAGAAATGGAGTTGCATTTTACCGCACTCCCCAACCCTCTCTTCATTGCACACATGTACGTAACTGGTTCTGATAAAAACGGGTGTTCTTTTAGTGCACTTGCACACATCATCACATTTGATCCTCAAAACACTCCTGTAAGGAAGGAGCAGGTAAGAGAATCAGGATTCAGGTGTTAAATAACTGGCCTCAGTTTACATGGTATGGTAATGGTAGGACCTGGACTTAGGTCCGAGTTTCTTTACTCTCATCCCCATATTCTTTCCACCACGCCACATTGCTTTTGTTTTCCAACATTTTTTTAACCTCACACTGTTGACGTTTCTTGCATCAATGCAATACATGAGCACTGATTCCACATATACTTGCCTTTTCCCAAATTGGGAAATTTGGGAATTCCCACATCTAATTCAACAAAGATGTATCATATATATTAGATGGTGAGCTACTCAAGGGATCATGCCGACAAAGCTCGGAGCATCTGCCGTTTGGGAGCCAGAGGGTCGGAACTCACTGAAATGGGAAGAAGGAGTGCTGGTAGGGAACGTGAATTGTTCTCCAGTGACGTTTCTTTTCCCCCCACCTTCATAGCATGGGAAGCATGAGTCGTCATGGGTAGAAGAGTTACTGAAGTTACACAGAGCTCGGATCACGGACGTTGAACTCATCACTGGACTCAGCTTCCTTCAAGAACGAAAAGAGCCCGTTGCAGACATTCTAAAGTTGAAAACATGGTTGCCAACCTTTGACCAAGAAGACTGATATTTTTTTATTCCAAAAATACACCATAGATGTTTTTGAAAGAACCTTTATTTTATACAGTCCTCTATTCACGCTGTCGCCTTGTTTGGAAACTGCCGACCAGAGTTAGAGCTGAGAATCCTCTGTGATAACAACCATCTCAGGGAACCTCGCGGCCTCCGCCCGGCAGTAGGAAAATACTCTTACTGAGTCTCGCACATGTTTGAATGTGTAAGAATTGTTCCAATTTGGGGAATAAAGACACCCCATACCTAAAACTGCTATTCTACTTCTCTTAAGGGCAAAAGTAGCTGTGAACATTGTCTGGACGCCAGATATTTGAATTTTGTTTTCACTAATAAACTTCTATGGAACTGGCAAGATCAGCATTAATGGATAGGATTGGAATAGCATGTTTTACCTTAGTATTTTCACAAGGATTTAAAGGTGATTCTGGATTATTTCCAACTTGGAGTTTCATTCATTTTAGTTTTAACTGAAAAAAATTAGCAGAAGCAAAAATGTTTCTAAGGCCCTCTTTCTGTCTTTGCCGACACCCATTCAAAACCAAAATATGTAATCCTGTGGGTTTGGTTTTTTGTAAATTGTGATTAGGCTTCCTCGGATTTAGTGTTTTTAATAAGTTAAACTTTGAGGGAAGATCTGTGAATTGAGTAATTCAGTCTGTCTACCCGCTATAAAATTTTATTCTGTATTTGTACAAAAAGAAAGATATTCCCATCCCGTTCACTGGTAGTGAACATAGGTTGAAAATAGCTCTAAAAGTGGTTATTTTAGACTATTAAAAATGTCTTCATGGAACTTCAGAGAACTTGCCAATGCATGCCTGGCAACATTTTCCATCAAGACAGCAGGAATGTTTTCCTCTATGCCCCAAAATGACCCCACCAGCAGCAGAACTGTGCTGAGCTGTTTATCTTAAAGTTTCTTGGGTTTGGAAAGAATGTATAACCATTGCTTTACATCTTCTTTGTGGTCATGATAAATGAACCTGACCTCTCCTCCACATAGACTATACCTTTTAGTGTGACTATATGTGTGAACCTTCAAGGGCTTCCTTCACTTGTAGACTATGTGGGTTTGATTTAGGTGTTATATTAGTCCACCAAAATTTTTTTATTTGTCCTTCCTATGATGATCATTCTTGAACAGACTACAGGCCACAAAATCCTTTAGATAATATAATTTGTACTAAAAATTATTTAATAATTTAGGAAGTTTTGTTGGTTTTTGTTTTAGTCCCATAGGGTCCTGAGGGTTTGTACATTGCTTTTTTCCAATCTGTCTTCTCTCTGTTGTTCAATTTGGGTCATTTCTGTTGTCCCATCTTTAAGTTCACTGGTTATTTTCTTTCTCTAATCCATTTTGTTGTTGAGCCCCCGCCCCCATTGAGTTTTCTACTTTTTTTTTTTTTTCCCTAAAATTTCTATTTGGTTCTTCTTTATATCATCTATTTCTTTGCTGAGAATTTTTATTTTTTTGCTAAGATTTTTTATTTTTTCATTTATTCTGTATAATTCATAGATACTCACTGAAGCATTTTTGCAATGGCTGCTGCAAAATTCTTTTCAAATAATGCCAGCATCTGTGTCATCTCAGGGTTGGCATCTGTTGTCTTTTTTTCATTCAAAAAGATTTTCCTGGTTCTTGGCGTGATGAATGATTTTCGGTGGAAACCTGAATATTTTAGATGTTACATGACTGTTTTAGCTGACTTTCTCTGACATCGATCTAGTGGGGGACTTAGGGGCACTGTCTAGTTCCTCCAAGGTGTAGCTACAAGTCCAGGTTTCCCACTCAGCCTCCAGTGACACTTGGAACGAAATGGGACCCATGTCATTGCTGCGCAGGGTGGGAATTCAGTTCCCCACTGGGCTTCCATTGATGCCTTCCTGCCTGGGGTGTGCAGGGGGCCTTGTCACTGCTCCCCTGTGGTGTCCACTGATACTGTGGGCAGGAATGCTGGGGAGGCTTCATTATGACCAGGTGGGGATGAATTGACCAGTTGTTTACTCAACCCTCTCAGATCCCACCCTGTCAGGGGAGTTAGGGTACTGCATGACAGCCCATCGAGGCTGGAAGTCTAGGCTCCCCACTTGGCCTTTACTGGCCTGGTTGGGTCTATGGTCTTTCCAGTGGCGTTTGCTAGAGTGGAGCATTTCCTGTTTTCTCTCTTGCTAGGCCATTACTCTTCCAGGCCTTTTGCTGGATAACAGGCCTTTTTTAGGACTTCTTTACATGTGCTCTGTTGCCATTTCACCTTTTCAGCTCCAAGTCTGGGACATCTGAGCTAAAAGGCAAATACACGGGGGAACTCATCACAATTTTGTCCCTTGGGTCCCAAGGTCCCTAGCCTGCCTGACTTCTCTCCACCTTTCAGAATCTTACTTTTTTTGTTTTATATATAATATCTAAGCTTTTTATCTGCATTTAGCAGAAGGATATATACTTTATAGAAGGGTCTCATTGATTTTTATGTATTCAAAACACATGCAGACACGTGATTGCCTCTATGTAAAGCCTCTTAGCAGATCTTGATTAAATAGGTAGATGCTTTTCCCCTTTGCCAGTCACCAGGAATACAAAGAAAGACAAGTAATAATCCTTACTAATAATCCTAAAACTAGAGAGGGAGAGGACAGAGCAGAAGTGTAGATGATCCCTAAGGGGTGGTAGTTGTTTTAATGGAGCCATAGGCAGAGCCATCTGCCAGGGAGGACAGAGAAGACACTGGGTGTTGCTTGACGGTCTCAGCAGTGACTCCCAGAGGTGGTTGACATTTGGGCTAGAACTTGGTGCAGATTGGAGCTCTTCAGGTGAATAGGTAAGGAAAGGACATCCTAACATCCTTTGGAGGGATACTTTTTGGCATTTTCCCATTTACTCTTCTGATATTTTCTACAAGTGTTTCTATGACCAACTTATGACATACAACTACTTTATTTTTCCTGCTTTGTTATAATCATCTCCTGCTCTTAAAAGCCAGACTATTAATGCTGTGCTGACTCTAAAGTAAAGAGCATCCACATCTGTTCCTACTTTGTTTTCTTCAGACACAGTGTTCTTTTTCTTTTTTTGTCTTGAAACAGATCTCTCCTTTGACTGTTTGATCAATTTAAAAGATGTGACTGGCCTCCAGTCCCCCAATTTGAATGGTAAATTCACATGGCTATATATGAAAATGTCTTTAACCTACTGTCTATAATAAAGGCTGTTCTTTGCTTTTCATATGCAAAACAAAACCTTTATTTTCCCCTAATTTTATTGCCATGCCTCTGATCAGTACTTCCTAAATGAGATAAGTAACTTCCATATAAAATTTCATAGCTAAGTCAGCCCATTCATGGCAAAGCAAAGAATCAAGTGGAACTTAAAAATTATTTAGAAGTGTCAGAGAAAAAAATGCAAACTTTAGGGGGGGAAAGCCGAAGGTTCAGCAGGGGAGGTCAGTGTGTGGAGGGTTGTTAGGCCAGCTGGCCCCATCCTGTTTCAGGAGAGAAGGTGGATGAGATTGTATCTAAGATCACCCAGTCCTCCAGAAAAGGCTGTTACCAGCCCCAACATTGACTTTTTTCTGTCATTAGCTGCATTAACTGTCCTGCCTTGCCCTGTGGGTACCTGCTTATCTATATCAGGAACAGGCATTTGAACTTTGAAAGTAAATGTGGTGATTACACTTCATGCCAAAGCCTATCACAGGTGTTTTTATAGGCGTTAGGTAAAATTGTAACATGGCTACAGTCCAATGACATTTTCCTTGATTTTTGGCAGTCTAAATATTATGAGGGAGAGGGGAAGTCTGTAGAATATGTCTCTAAGGTAAGAAATGTGGATTCACCAATAAAAATTTTATATACAGAATCTTTGCTGCTTTCGCGTGCGCACGTGTGTGTGTGTGTGTGTGTGTGTATGTGTGTAGGGTGGGGACAGGGAACTGGGTGGTGGTGTTTTCCCAGGGATGATACTGCATGCAGGGGCTGTAGACAATTAACCAGGACTGTATTGTTGGAAGGAGGAAAAAGATCCAAAGTTCATGTCAGGTTCACAGAGTAAACATCTGTTTCTGATTTGTGACCTATATTCTTGTTTTTGGCATTTTAATTATTTGCAATCATACTTCTAGGTAAAAAAAAAAAAAGACATGTATAAATATCCTTCCAGTATTTAGAATGGTCTGAAACCAGAGGGAAAGTATCTAATTTGTAACTTCCATATATTTTATTTCAACGTGAAATTTTTGTACTTATCCTTTCCATAAACAGCAATGAAAGGAAAAATAAAGATATTTAGTAGAAATTGTAGCCATGGTAGAAACTGTAGTCTGCTAGAAATTAAAAGAATCTCGGAATCTGTATTACCCTCATGAGATGTCAAAAGGAAGCAACAGAAAAAAGTGTGCCTTTCATTCCGTCCCAGTGTCATAGTTTTAAGCTTAACTTCATACTTGCCCGTAAAACCTGAACTCAGGGAGAGAGATTTTAATAAAAATAACACACTCACTTAAAACTCATACAGAATTTCATTATATATCAAATTCAGAACTCAGAATAGACTTCAGCTTTCCCAGAATAGAGATACAAAACAATTTAATACATATCCAGATAATGAGGTTTTTATATCTATAATAATTTTGCCCTAAGACATCTGGGTATTTCTCACTATCAAAATTTTTTATGCCTACACTTAAATGACATTGTGCTAAGTGTAATATAAAGCAAATGAAACTTTCAGAACTGAAGGCTTATAAGTTAACAGAGACGGGAGATTATTTTAAATAAATGAGACCAAAATTTTCTCCGTTCAATGAACAGAATGGCCTGCTCAAATTTTTACAATCTAAAAAATCTCAGATTGAAACCTACAATTTTGCCTTCTCTATCATAAACTATTCAAGATCTTGACACAATGTCACTGTTTTGAAGCATTACTCAATTTTAAAAAGGTACAGAAATAGTGGTTAACCTGTGAGGCCTCTGTGTACTTGTGTTTTTAAGATCTCAAACACTGTTTAATTCAATAGGACACTTTTATCACGTTCAACTAGGTTAGATTCAATTAGATCAAGACTGACAACAGATTTCAAAGCTGTGTTAACTCTGTGTCAAGGAAATGAACATAGGGGTTAAATTGGGGTACAGAATAGACAAGATGCCTGCCCCCTTGGTGCTTACTGACCAACATTTTATCTTGATGTCAAGATCTAGCCCAAGGCCCATATCCTTTTGACACTAGTTCTCTTCTCTTTACCCCTAAAGCATGGTCATGTGATCAGACCCTCCCAGACACTGGGGATGACAGAGCACAGGACTTCAGGCTAGTCATTGTTCTGTAATTGCGACCAACTGCCTGTGTGTGATGCATTTTATTGTCCCTTAATCTGCACAAAATGTTATTAGATGGCACTGTGATCTAGTAAGAAATTGTACTCAGCCCCTGATACTCAGTCCAAAAGCATGGCTTGCTAAAGGTAGTCTGCAGCCACACAAGGAAGTAATTTCAGGGTGATGTGGTTATGGGTGTAAGAGAATCATTTGCTTCCACCTAGGGCTTCCGGATGTGGCAGGATCTTATCCTAAAGAGAGGATATTACACAAACCTCATAAGGAAATTAAGAAGTCCCAAGAAGCTGCACTATCTAAGCATTTCCAGCCGGTGATCTTTTGTTACATTTGCTAAGACTATACCCTTCGAGTTTCTTCCCTAAAACTATAACTTTGATGAGATTTATGTCAAGGGTGTGCTGTTTCATAAGATATACAACTCAGCCCTGTGGGATTTTTCCCCCAGTGGTTATAACTTTCATTTGACATTTAAGCATATGTTTTTTAAATTGATAGATTCCTTTTCAGGAATTTCTTTGTCTTGTCTCCAAACTCATCTGTCATTGAGAACAGACATAATCTTTTAGCCAGTGTTTCTAGAACAGTGCCTGACACATAGTAGTTGGTTAATAAAGACAATGTCCAGGTAAATAAAACCCAATAAGCTGATCCTACCAAAATAACCATTTAAGACAGCTCAGGAATCATAGGTTATTGAAATGCAGCTAGAGGACAACCACACTGACATTAATTATTCTTTGCATCCCTAGTTTTTAAATACCAGATGGTGTTTTCCCTGGGGTATGTTTCAAAAGGAGTACATCTCTATATATCTTTCTAGTACATGAGGGAGAATTTTAAAAATATATCTAATACAAATATAAAAATAAAAATACAATACATATAAGATCAAGAATGCCTTTCGTGGACTATACAGTTTCATTGACTTTACTGTGGGAAGTGTCATGCGTGGTGAACTGAAGAGGAAAAGAATGAACTTCTCAGAGTTTTGACATCTCACATGAGAACCTCTCTACAAGGTGTGTAATGTCCCTCCAGCCACAAAGAGCTGTTGTAAACGTTTACTGGCAAATGTGGAGACACACGGGGCATCTCTCAGTCCTCACATCCATCATCTTCAGGGAATAGCTTTTGCTGTGAGGAAAAACACATCGGCCTGGATGAAATAAGTCAGTGGTAGCAACCCTGCTGGAGCATCTAGAACAAACATTTTGAGGCAACTTTGCTGTACTCCAGAGGAGAGAGGTTTTCCTACCTCTTCTCACTCTCTTTGAAATTCAGGGCCATGGTATCTCACATTGGCTAACATAGTGATGGACAAAGAAGTATTAGTGATGTGAAATCCTCCCTTCCCATCATGGAAGGTTGACCATAAACAAATTTGATTATTCATTTACCCAATGAATCAGTCACATTATTATGATGACAAAGACATCTCTGAAACTAGATCAAATATGGTGATAATTACAA